TTATTTGTCAACTGGTCAAGCCGAACTCAAAAGCTCAGCATTTATTTAACACGACGTTTATATATGACTATAAGCATTAAAAAAATATTTGCATATTCATCGGAATTGGAATTTATTTTCCCAGGCACGCGAGAAATCAGAGATCAGTTGCTGCTTCTCATCAACTCGGCCAGCCTAATTTTCCAGCAGCAGCTGGAAGAAGCCTGCTGCAAAGTTCTGCTCAATCACAGCCGACTAATTATCAGGGCTACAGTAGCGGGCAGAAAACCTATGTCCCCATCAGCAACATTCAGCAGGTTCGTGTCATTCTCTGGTTCTCCAACGTATCTTATCGTAATTGTTTCTAATAAAGTATAGAGTCAACAACACAATACTTTGCATACGTACACGTCTTCCACATTGAATTGGTGTCTTCCTCGATATCAAAATTACTTGAGCGGAATTTGATGAACCGGATCTTGAAATTCGGTAAAAATATATTTCTCGCGCACGCGCAGTAGTCAAACAAATAAGACCGCCCTTTTTCTCTGAAAATGAAATTTGAAATAACATGCTTGTGCGACCTATATGCTTAACTCAAGTTATCATTATATAGGCCGCAGTGAATTTAAAAACGTTGCATATTCTTGAGAAGATGTTGGACAGTTTGGCTGACCAGTCTTCAATAGACGGGACAAACAATTTCTACAAATTGAGAATACTAATGAAAGATTCAGGTTGTCTTCATTTGGAAATCTGACGACATAAGAGATATAAAAAAAAGTGTAAATCCGTTCCAGAAAATCACGAAACAGCATTAAAAAAACCTAATACATTTTGTGGCGGTTCAATGGGGTCGGCAGTTCAAAGGGGATCGTGGTTTATCAAAAAAAAATGATAATAGGAAAAGTAGATATGATATGAAATAAAATTTGTATTCTTCTCGAAAACAATCAAAATAACCCTGGGATGCATAAATTAAGCCTATATAGTTAATGTTTCCTATAAACAAATAACATCATATTTGTATTTGTGTTTTTATTGAATATGGAAACATGCTCTTGCAAAAATGTAAATCTTCGTTTGCGGACAAAAAAAGACAAAATTAATGGGCAAGAGCATATTTGAGTTCGCTTTAATGTTGACGGATGACAATTTGACAGGGTTTCCAATTTTTCATCCTAAGAATTTTTTTACACAAATTGGCAGTTGTCGAGGGCGGCGGCTTATCAGGGGTGTCATCCTCATATGGGGTTTGACTGTACAGTATACTCATAATGATCTGATACATAATAATTTCCCAAAAAATGTTTTTTAAGCATGTTCAATAACATGAAAATGCCTTTTCAATCAAATAGAGTGACCATTTTGTTGATTTCTTTAACCATGACAGAAAGTTTAGAAAATTTTTCGAATTTTTCAGATTTTATTACAGTATTTAAAAAAAAACTTGTGGTCGAAAAATTTGGAACATTTCCAATTATCAAAGCAGAAGTTAACTTCAGAACGATTATAGGCATGTTTTGACGACATCTTTGCATTACCCTCTGAAAAATCTGAAAACTTCGCACCAAAATTAAGTTTTCTTCGATTTTATAGAGAATGAATCATTGCCAAAAAAAGTTTGTTCTAACTAAGGAGCGTTCATCGTAGTAAGAGGTGAAAAATGAATCCTGTTGATGTTTTTGTTGTTTGGTTAATTGCTGAGAGCAGCAACAGCAGCAGCAGCAGCAGAGTCAGGGGAATTTCGCAGCTCATCAATCAGCAGCCATCCCCGCGGCATCCGCAGCGAACCCCGTGTTCTCGGGTTTCTACCCCCAGCATCAGCAGGCCGCAGTAGGAGCAGCAGAGGTGAACCAGCGCCAAGGACGGCAACCCCCTCGCGGAAGACACACCCACACCCACACCCATAAGCACATTGGCGGCTTTGGCCTCAGCGGCGCCAGTGGCGGCGGCGTTGCCGTGCACTCCGACGCCGCCGACCCCAGCATCCTCCAGGACGACGCCTCGTTTTTCAATCAGCACAGCGCGGAGTTACTAGGCGACGAGCCGAATAATAACGAGGACGCCGCTGGGGCGTCCTTTGACGACCCCGAGTCCGACGCCGACGACTTCAACGACGAGTTTGATCAGGATCCCGAATTTTTCGGAGAGGATCAAGAGGAAGAGGGTCGGCCACCCGTGAGGCATGTCGGGTTCAGGCCACCTGGTGGTGGCAGGTTGAATCAAGGGCCAGTGTATCGGCCGTTCAATGACGGGCGATTGGGTCATAATCAGGGTGCTGGGCCTCATCATCATGCCGGGTTCCCGTCGTTTGGGGCACCTATTCGTCAGCAGCAGCATCAGGGGCCGTTTTTCAGCCAGCAAGGGAATAACGGGGATAGGGACTCGGAGGGATTTGAGTACGGGTGAGTCATTAATAAAACAGAACTGCTTTGTTTATTGTCAACTTTTTTTTTAAACTACAGTATGCTGATGAGAGGCCGGTTTTAAGCTTAGTTTATGTGAACTGCGTTCTCCGTGAATTATTCTCAACTGACCCCAAAAAATGAAAGCCTTCTTTTGTTTCTAATTTTATATACAGTGAGACCCCCACATGTGGACATCTTGACGTGTGGACAATTCAGCATAGGGACACTTGTTTTCCCATAAAAATTGAGGACATGAGGACACTGACTATACATTGGGACATTTTGTTATAAAATTGCAAATAAGTTCCAGGCCAAATTACAAGAAACAGATATTTCTAACCTTAAAATTGATGTAAGAAAAGTTCTTGGGCATTTCTCTCAAAATGTATCATCCATTTAGATAATTTTAGAAAAGTACCATCAGCATAGAGGGACTTCCTTCTCTCTTTTTCACTTGAATGTTATTTTATAGAGAATTCGGTGTAATAATTTGTAATCAAGCGAATTTATTTCCATTCGACCAATTTTTTGTGAGGAAAGGTAACCAAAAACCTTTCAGAAATTCAGTAGCGTTTCATTATGTGTCGTTTAATTTACTTTTATTGAAATGTCTTGTATATTTTTCGAAATAATTGAACTTTTATTTTCGGAACCATTAATTTTTGGGGTTGAATACTTTTTGCTCAAGTTTCATCATCGTTATTAAAGTCTTTGATTAAATATTGTCCAAGTATCACTTTCAAATTCGTATAGAGAAGAGATTGTGGTAAACGTCTGTATTGGGTCATTCATGAAAAATATTTCTTGTTTAAATATACTGTATATTAAGTACTGTATTTTAATTTAGATTACTATCTCGTCATGACGAGGGTAATGCAAAGATGATGTCATCAAAACATGCCTATATAATCGTTCTGAAGTAATTTATGCTTTGATAATTGGAAGTGTTTCAAAATTTTCGACCGTGTTGTAAGACGGGATCCAGCTATAATATAAACGCAAGCCTAAAGCAAAATACCAAACTTAGAATTTATTTGTTAAAACAAAATTTCTTGAAGGAAATTTTTGAAGGAAAAAATGAAATATTTTTTCGAGGTCCTATATATGCATGCGGTGTTATAATAAGAAACCATACTCCTCTAAAAAAAAATTTTGATTATGACATTGTTTCGGTTCTCGATGACTTTTTTTTAAATGAGATGTCGTTATGCATATTTGCTTTCAGTGACCCAGATGATGCGACGCTGGGACTCAATGCCCCTGAATTGAGAGAAATCGACCTCATGGCCTCAGGACGCATTGCCTCAAATCCTGCTCAGTCGAACACAGGCAGAGGCGATAATGGAGACTTATTGGCAGGTCCTCCGACTGATTTCAGTCAAGCCGAATATGCTGACTTTGCCAGGGCTGCACCCGATTTTGAGGACATGGCCGACGAAGGAATCGGCTTGGAGGATGTGAATGAAGCCCTGCATGAAAATGAGATCCTGGACGTGGTGACGCTGTTCAACGAGAGACAGGGAAAAAATGAGTCAGAAAAGGCATCGATTGAGGATGACAATAACAACAAGAAGAAAGAGGAAGACAACACTGACGGACCGGAAGATGAATTGATCTTCGAACCCCCGCCTAAAGGACAAGCCACGTCAGCTGCTCTGATTGCGGAGATGAGGAAGTCTGCTGGAATGGTATCAATCGCTTGCAACGTTGTCTAATCAAAGATTTAAACAATATTATAATCGTCTCTCTTATTTCTCATGATATATTCAGGAACTTGAAGATTCGTAGACCATCATCATCGAAGACATTCATGATTGAACGTCATCATCATCACGACTACAACATCTTCTCATTTATGCCTGCTGAGAACTACCACGAAGAAAGAACAATGTGCGAAAACAAATGTGGATCATGGATTTGATATATCGTTAAAAAGGAGGGATTTATAGTTTTTTGTTGTTATCCTCACTCTCCTGTTGTTGCAAATTGTTCAGATTTTGACACGTTGTTGAATTTTTTTTACTTTCTAATTTAGTAAAAATTTGTATAAGTACATTTTCAAACTCCAGAATCGGGAGCTAGTCAATTGGTGGAAAGACCCTTTCTCGTTTAATCGTAACCAACGGTTGCAGACATTCCTCCCCTTGCTGTGTATAAGTAAAGAACATCATTGCTTTTTAGGGAGTGAACTTCGTCGAATGGTCACTTTTTCTGTTTTTCATCAACACAAGATGTTCGTGGTTTGGTAATAAACCTGGATTGAAATTTGTATACGTTGCACATTCATTTTCTACTCGTGATACAGCGGAATATGTATTACACAACGCGCCGCGGCAACGGTGCTCATGATGGTTGGCTATTACATAGACTGGGTTGTTGTTGTTTGTTTGTGTGTGCCGCGGTAGTGTTGATTTTTCCCGCGGTCAGGCGGTTGACCGACAACAGTCGAAGTCGCTGATTCACCGTAATGGCTGCGCACGGTGCCGGCTCGATACTTCGCATACGAATTCGCGGTTGATCGGTGAAGTAATGGTTTTGGTTAGAATTTATGTCTGATATTTCCGCCGTTGGAATTCTTGAGTTCCAACTTATCCATTATTGTGAGTGGAGATTGATATGTTTTATCATAACAGTGTGTTCAGGCGTGATTGATTGTTATTTGTGGCGTATCAAGGCGACTGATTTTCTGCTTAGACGGAATTCAGTAGAGAGATACTTCGCAGTCTTCCCAAGTGATGAGTTAGCTCTATTACACCTATTGCGTTACGTCTGCCACTATGAAGACTGGCGATCTCGAGCAAATTTTGAATCAGGACTATCATATTGGAGCGAAGATTGGCTCAGGAGGTTTCGGGAAGGTTTACCTTGCGACTCATGTCGTCACTTTGGAAAAGGTCGCCATCAAAGTTATGGAAAAACGGAAGCTTGGGGTAAGATTTTCTTGAAAGTGTGGCACTGCAAGAGAGTAAAACTGTAGCGTTGCAGGATGATCTCCCGCGAGTGGCGCGAGAAATCAAGGCACTGAAGATACTTAATCATCAGAACATTGCCCAATTATACCAAATCGTGGAAACAAAAGATGCCTTTGTCCTTGTCTTGGAATACTGCCGTGGAGGCGAAGTTTTCGACTACATTGGTGAGCCAGCCCGTGAGTGTATGGATGCCCGGCGGAAGAAAAATACGAGTTTTTCGCAGTTAATAGGTCAAGATTGCCAGAGGTCGAAGCACGGTTGATTTTCCGACAGATCCTTGCAGCGCTATGCTTCATACACGAACGAGGATTCTGTCACCGGGATTTGAAACCGGTAAGTTTGCTCTCTTCATTGTGCATTCGGATTGTCCTGATTGTTAAACCGGCAGGAGAATGTCCTGTTGGCGGAGGACAAGGAAGTCAAAATCATAGATTTTGGATTGTGTGCAATGCCGGGTAATGATGGAACCGGACGTGATATGCGCCTGGAAACTATGTGTGGGTCGATGGCGTACGCTGCTCCCGAATTACTGAAAGGGGAGAAGTACATAGGTGTGTCGGTCGATTTCTTTCTTGCAACCATCCTTCGTTGAAAACATGCTTATTCTTAATAGGTCGTGAAGTTGACATCTGGTCACTGGGTGTCGTACTTTTTACACTTGTCGCCGGATATCTTCCCTTTGATGGTGATGATAATGCCGTGCTGTCGCGTGCAATTCAGGTTTGTCCTCGATTATTTTCTAATGAATGGAGAGTATTTAATATTATTTTTTATATGCTGATAGAGTGGAGTATATGTTCAGCCAGAATATTTGAGTTTCGAAGTTAAGAATATCATCCAAGGCATGTTGCAAACGAATCCAAAGATGAGAATGAAAATAAAGCATCTTGTTCAGCATCCGTGGGTCAACATCGGATTTGACGAACCCGTTACGTCAAGCTCAGTCTACGAGGTAAATCGTTGAGCTTATTTTTATCAGGTTTGGATAATCCAAGAGTATTTCTCTGTTTTCTAGATGGATGTCTTCGATGTTGACATTGTTGAGGAGTTGGCGATGTTCTACAAAATGTCTCCGAGTGTGATCATGGATCGGTTGATACAGTGGAAATATGATCATTTAACCGCCACCTACCTGATCTTGTGTCATCGCAAGCTCCGGAATCTCCCAGCGCGGCTCACGAGAGCTTCTGTGCAGCATGCATTTGTAAGAGACGAGTTCCTTAATGCAATTGCATTCTGCGACGGCCGCATTTCAGCTGCCTAGACCGAAAACTCCTCTTTATAAGGAACAAATGGCTGAAATGCAATAAGTAAGGTCTCAGTATAAGGGAAAAAATATTGTAATTTTCAAGAGCTGGCTGACTAACTTTTTCATATTTCTGAGGTCGATTTAATGGGGTTGGAAGGTGGGTCATCAAGTCAGGGTTACGAAGATGCAAAGATGTGATGCTCAGGAACTTTTTTTTTAGCGGATGATTGCCATTTACGTCACTTGTAATCGATGCCTATTTTTACTATCCCGGGTAAGCTTATGCAGAATTACTGAGCTTTTGTGTAGTAGCACCTAGCGACGAAATCTGGAATCTGCAGTACACTTCAGCTCATGTTTTTTAATGTTTTCCAGGATGTTGGAGATCTACCAGGGTGGTCTGGAGGAAGCACGAATTCTATGGATACCCTAACTGCACCTTCGACGACGAAGATGGAGCAATGGGTTATTCCTCAGATTAATCCGTCCACCTCACGTCGTCCCTTGGGCCAGATCCAAATGCAGCAGGAAACATCTTCGAATGTTTCAGGTAAATTAATTGCCGTTTGGAAAGTAGTTGTGCATGAAATATACTGTACCTCTTTTGTTTTATTAATTATGCAGGTTACCCACCGAATCTTGCTATGTCCATGGATTCAGGCCTGCAGAACATTTCGATGGAAGCACTCGCGACACCAAGAAAAACGAGAACAAAACCTGCTTTACCCGATTCCCAAGGGCCTCAAACGGTCAAGATTGTGGTAGATGAAAACGTTCCCCCGAATGCGGCGCCGACTTTGACTTTGCCAATGACCCCAGAACGCGAAATGTTCGATCCCGAATTCAACGTGATGCCTGGTAATCTGGGTTCTTCGCATGGTAAACGATGGGTTCACAGTTTCGAGCGCGGTTTGGAAAAGATGAAGAACATCATCACGCCGCGTAAGAAAGGAAAGCCTGTTGTTCGTCAAGAACCTGCAGTCGCAAAGGTACTTATTGTTTAAACCTTCTGCAGACGAGTAATGTAGGGATGCGTTTTGAATGAAAATAATGCTGAGAATGTGTAACTTGGAATTCCAGCATTGTCAGAAGTACAAAAAATGTCAAATGCGCAATAAATAAGTTCAGGCGAACTTTCGCGTTCGTCCGGTTGTGTTAAAACTGATGCTTTTGGTTTAATTTTCCTGCTGTGTGAAGTGTAGAAAAATGAACAGGAAAATTGATATCAACTTACGAAGCTAATGAACATGAACTTCTGTGTCATCCTATTTTGTGCCCTATTAAGTGCAGTTTAGTAAAAGTATCTTGTCAGATTTCAGATCGGAAAATATTGTATCGTTCATCACAATCTGACGTTGCTGTATCATGCATTTATGTTTGGTTCATGGAATCCGCTGTGTGACGGCGAATATTCTGAAAAATAATCGGAAGAATGTGATCTTTGAAAATTTTCAGACTCTGCATAACGTCGCTTGTGGATATCAGAAAGATCCAGATGCCTTATTTTTATCCTTGAAATCTGCAATGGAACAAATGGGAATCCAATGCAAGATCAAAGGGTGTGTATACTAGGGTTGAAATTCATTTGAATAATTACAGGATTTATGATGTTCTTCTGAAATGTAGGCCATATTGCTTGCAAGGGAAGCAAGTTCAACCTGGACACGAGTCATTGACTCTTGTGCTTGAGATTTGCCAAATTCCTCTGATGAAAGGCATTATAGGTATCAAACGCAAGCGAATCACGGGTGAATCTTGGCATTATAAGAAGGTTGTGGAACGCATCATGCGCAACGTTCAAGAATTTCCTGTGTCGCCACGTTGACGGAAGATAGTAGACATCATTTCTTGAATAATTGACTTACAGTGGTGCTCTTCCTTGGTTCTTCTCGGGTGGGGGTCTTCTCGTTGCTGAGGATTGAAGAGACGAGAACCGTTTCCTTGATGACTTTCGTAAGCGGCGGGGAACCCTCGTCGTGATCATGAACGACCGTGATTGCGTTTATGATTTGTTCGACATCCTGTGGTAAATTGTGCATATCCATTTTCCCACTGGTCCATTCGTTTATCATTCGCATCTGCTGTCATTAATGCCGATTATCCTTAAGTTGTAGTGAAAATGCCGTTATTCGTATTCTGAATCTCGATGATGAACATTCAAGTTCACTTATTTTCGATTTGTTCATTTTCACGTTAGGCTTCGTTTAATTTCTTCGCGTGAACGATCGAATCCAGTCGAAAGACAAGGTGAACCGAGCCTTCCAATTCGTGCTTATGCAAATTTTCTATGAGAGTTTTACAATTTTTTGAAGAATTTGTATCCCTGCATTTTCAATGTTTTGCAGATATCCAGATTGTGGGATATTATATGACTAGAAACGCATTTTATTTAATGTTCTGTGTTTTCCTCGTTCTGCCAAATGACATGATGATTAACGGCTTTGCTTTTGTTTGCCGCAGGAAAAAGATGTCATTGTGCCTGAAGTGGCCAGAGTGAAAAGGGGTGGAGAGTAGTGTTCTCTGCAGGCGGGATTTTTTCGCTGAGTTTGGGAGACAAACAAGCAGTTGTTTTTCGGTCACGGCCGGAAGGAAACGCGATCGCAGGCGATATTGATTGGTCGGATGTCCGGTTCCCTGGATAATAGGAAACAGCTTGGGTTAAAGAGACCAAGGCTGGATAACGCGAGGAGTGGACCAATGCCGGCACGACCGCTGGTAGCCCTGCTGGATGGGCGCGATTGCTCCATCGAAATGCCCATCCTCAAGGATGTGGCGACTGTTGCTTTCTGCGATGCCCAGAGTACGACTGAAATTCATGAAAAGGTGAGTTATGCATTCTTTGATGTAGGATGTTCATTGTCAGGTTGCCGTGTGGTGAAGCATTTTCTGAAGAAGTGATGGGAAGTCTCATCGGGGTTAACCGAGTACTGTAATGGGAAGCGTTATAGCCAGATCTCATGTGATACTGTATACAGTACAGTACTGTATTTCAAAAAATCAAACCTTGATAAGCCGCCACCATTTGTTTGTGGCGGTTTAATTGTGAGCGGTGGTTATCAGTAAAGCTGAAATTATATGAACATCAAGTAGCACCATTAAAAGAAATCAATTTTTAATTCATATAGAAAACAATCAAAATAACTCCGGGATGCATGAATTGCATTTGGTTAATGTTTCCAAGAAGTGAATTATGTGATTCTTGTTCCGTGTTTTTTATTCGGAGACCTCTCGCAGAAACCTGAATTCTTTTTGGTGGTCTTTCGGAGACGAAATTAATTGACAGGAGCATATTTTTCAATCATTTTGGCAAATAGCGTTTTGACGGGGTTTCCAATGCTTTTGTCATTAGACACGTTTTTTAATCAATTGGTGGTTGCCGAGGGTTGCGACTTCCTGGGGTTCGATTCGATATAAATTCTTGACAAAAAATAGCCGAAGCATCGCTCAGAAATTAGGAAAGTAATGCTCAAAAGTCAAAACCGTTATTTTTGTGGATGAAAAACGTTTTTTTTTTCTGTTGAAGTACTGACTGCTACATTTAACGTCGTAAATTCCCCCGTTTTTAATTTTTAGAAGGTCTGAATTTCTCATAAATTTTGTTATCCGAGGTATCGCGCTGATGACATAGAAGTTTGTTGATGCAAAACTCATAAGCGAAGTTGATACTCTGGCATGTCGTGTGCAGACATGAATTCAAGTTTTAGGAAGCATATTCTTCAGGAAAACTGCAATATCGTACCTAAAAGTTTCCTGCGATTAAAAGTTTAAAACTTGAATTTTATTCTGTACTGTATTACGAAAGAATCCGCATCATCAAATAATTGAAGATTAATCTCGATGCTAGTCTGGAAGAAGGTTTACTCGAGTTGTTTTCCCTCGTTCATGCGATTCTCTGGTAGTGCTTGGTTCGTATGCATGTTGAGTTGATCCGCAAACCTACGTCGTTTCGGAAATCTTCACTTTTTTAATGCTGTATTGCATTATATGTAAGCATGATATCTGGGCTGATCTTCGAAGCTGCAAAAATAATTGTAAATGGTGTTCACTACAGGGTTGAAAAGCAGAAAATTTGTGACTTCTTTTAATTGTCCAGCAACTTTTTCGACACCCTGTATTTCTCGAATTGATCACGTACCGATTGCGGGATTTTTCCTCCGATTAACCAAAAATTCTTGAGAAAGTGGCTTTTGAAATCTCTGCTGAAAGCCGCGAGGAAGACTTACATCATCGCGTTTTGAATTTTAATGAAAGTAGTTTATCTCAGTAGTGCTGGAATTATGGCTCAGTTTCGCGCGTGAGCTTGTCTATATCTTCTGGGATCGATTTGAGGTGACTTTTTTCAAAATTAATTGACTATATCGTACGCGATGGGCTACTTGTTCGTCAATCGCCAGGACGAAGTTCGCTTGTGTTTGATGTGAAATGGTAAACAAGTGGTTAGTGGTTGATCGTCGAGTGAATTTTTTCGGACGTTGGCCTAATACAAACAATGATCCTTGTTTGACTTTGCCTTTCGTGTCCTTTGTAAAGGTTCTGAACGAAGCTGTCGGCGCTTTGATGTGGCACACGATCTCTCTCCAACGCGAAGACTTGGAGAAATTTAAAGCCCTGCGGGTCATCGTGCGCATCGGCAGCGGGGTGGACAATGTTGACGTGAAGGCGGCCGGCGAGCTGGGCATCGCCGTGTGCAACGTTCCTGGCTACGGCGTGGAAGAAGTGGCGGACTCGACCATGTGCCTAATTTTGAACCTCTATCGGCGCACGTACTGGCTTGCCAATATGGTGCGGGATGGCAAGAAGTTTACTGGCCCCGAACAGGTGAATTTCCCCGTATTCACTATACAAGACGTGATCTCTTTTTCTCTCTCGCCGAAAACAATGCTGGATTTACTAGAGTACCATGCGTTACTTTTTTTCTCAAATTTGATTTGAAAAGAGGGGGTGCGTGTCCCAGGCGGGTATACATTTTTCAAGAAGTCTTACAAGTTCATGTGTGGATTATGCCTGATTCTAATGGGAAAGTTTGGACCAAGTTTGGAAGAAGTTGTTTTTCTGGGTGGGGGAAAATTGAAAATTAGTCGAATTCATGACTACTTCATGTCTAAATTCGAATTTGGGTGTGCTAATTTTCGAAATATTGTGGCTTTAGTCAATTGAAAATTGGGTGCACGTATTAATCGGGGATAGGTTCTTAACTAAATTTTCAACAGAAAAAAACCCTAGTGCACGTCTTACTTAAGAAGCGTGATCTAGATATTCTAGAATACAGTAAATTCGGTACTTTTTTTTTTGAAAATGACCTGGTTAGATTTTAAGGCCCCAAAAAAATTCCTGAGCGAAGCCCCGTCCCCGACAAATTGCCCACAAGAATAATTCTGCTTGCTGCAACGCGTGTTTAAGTGGAAGGAAAAACGGGTATCAAATCTTCTCTTGCCGAGCAATTCGAAAAATTGTCCTCAAATCTGCATTCAGGAGAATTTTTTAAACTTCATTCTTCATTGAATTTCTGTTCTAACAATTGACATATAAAAGCCTTCGAATGCTTTGAAGTTTGATCTTGGTTGAAATTTGAGTTTTCAGCATTCCAACTTCTGATTGTGTTATTCCTGAATGTTCAAGGGAACATTTTTTATCTTTCCTACGTTCACGTCGTCGAAAAGCATAGCGAATAACCCTCGAATTTTCCCCGAGAGATTTTCTTTGGGTAAAAAATAATGAGGCGTTCTATTTTCTCTTGAAGTCTCTACGTAAAAAGCTACAGCAATACTGCAGTACTGTTTGATATCGGTACTCCGGTAAAGATGATGAGAAACGCAGTTACGTCGAATTGCAATGTAATGCTCTATTATTTTTTCCTTGTAATTCCTCTCTGAAATTGCAAGTCACGTCAATCGAAAATGTTTGCAATTTCAACACCTACAGTACTGTGGAACTTCGTTGAGTGCCGATGGAAAAGGTTTTTCGAAATGATTAAAAAGGCTTTTATCCGTCTTCAAAATTCCAGAAACAAGCTTTTGTTCCTCCTTAATGTTTTCGTCCTATTGTTCCGAACAGGTGCGAGATGCTGCACAAGGATCGGCTCGGATCCGCGGTGACACGCTAGGGATTGTGGGACTCGGTAGAATCGGCTCCGCAGTAGCCCTTCGAGCAAAGGCTTTCGGGTTCAACGTCATCTTCTACGATCCGTATTTGCCGGATGGGATTGAGAAGTCGTTGGGTCTGACTAGGGTTTATACACTGCAGGTATGCATCGCCAGAAATATTTGGGGTATCTGCGACAATAATATTGCGCCTGACTCATGAGACTTGATCCATTCCAATGGGAAGTTCATTATCCGGAAAGTGTATCAACCGAGTAAATTTGAAATCATAAAATAAAGTCCAGATTCTGTGTGAAATTGCTTTCCGAATTCGGTGAAAAAAAAATAATTTTATGACGACATGAAATGCAGTAAACTACTGTAGGAGCGAAAAATCGCTGAAAATGAAGCCCCTAATATCGATCAAAAAAATGTTTTTATCGACTTATAATATGACTTCGGCTGCCACATTTTCCACAATCGTTTCGATTTTTTATGGACATGCAATTTTTTGTGCTGGTAAAAGCGGAGTCTGAATTCAAAATTGATGTCAGTCCGATTCCATTGTGTGTAAAATTTACAATCCAGGATATTACTAAATAAGACAAACTTCCAAGATAGCTTGAATTTTTTTTTAACCAAAGGAACTCCGAAAAGGAAGCTCTCGGAAGTCTCGAGTGAATAGAAGATTCTACGTTTTCTAAAAAAAATTCGGAAATAAGATTTTCTGGGTGGGCTAGAAATTTATCACTTTTTAAAAGTCATCTATATTTGATCACGATGAATTGCTGAGAAAAACTAAAAGATGAAAGCCCACTTAAACTTTCAATTATCCGCGTAAAGCAAATGAATCCTGTTCATCTTGTGAACAAACCTACTCAGAGGAGAAAGTAAGTTGTCTTCACGCGTGCCGGTTGCATTGACAGTTTCGTGTATTAAAGTTGTTCTTGATATTGGATTATGCCAACGTTGCTAAAGTATTCAATGCTGATGATTCACCGAGTGATTCTTCGGGTGGGTGCAAATTTTCTGACCGCTCCAGAGACTAGATTTTTGATGCGGATCTAATTTTTCCAACAATTCCATAAACCATTCCGATTTTAGTTAGTGAAAATGAAAGAATACGTATTTTATTGCTTGAGTACGGTAGAATTTTTCCAACCATATTCATAACTGCATTTAGGGCAAAACCGTTATCATTTTCCAATGTTTAAAAATTTCCACGTGTCTCAGAGATGGGGCTGAGAATTCGAACATTTGTTTCCTGAAAGTGACTAATCGCGTGAAATGGGATTTGGTTTTCAAGGATCTTCTGTACCAATCTGATTGCGTGTCGTTACACTGCACACCAAATGAGCACAACCATCATCTGATCAACGATTACACCATCAAGCAAATGAGGCCGGGTAAGTCACGAAAGCGTGAAAATAGAATTTGCGTACGTTTTATGAGGCTGTGGTTGTTGGTTGTATGTAGGGGCTTTCTTGGTCAACACTGCTCGCGGTGCGCTGGTGGACGAGTCGGCGTTGGCAGCAGCTCTCAAAGAGGGCAGGATACGTGCGGCTGCTCTGGACGTGCATGAAAATGAACCGCAAAATGTTTTTGCAGGTGAGTTGCGATTCCAAAATTTCTTGAGAAGAAAAATCCGATTTTTCGCGGGAGAGGGAAGGGGAACTGTGAATTTTAAGATTCGTTGTAAAATCTTGGAAGCCTCTTTTGCTCCGTACACTATTGCAGGCATCGTAAAATTTTGATTTCTTTATCTTGGAGGCAGTACTGCCAAAATCTTGTACGAGTGGCGTAATTTACTAGAACATTCTGCGGGAGTATGGGAAACTGTTGCTGACGTGTATTATTAAAGCATGTCGTGTTTTCTTGATGATCAGCCGTGCCACAATTTTTAGGAAATGAGCCCAGTCAGGACCGAATTAATTTATTCTGTATTACTACTATGAACAGTTCCTGAAAAAGTTTCTTGAGTTTTCAGTGTGAATATGAAAGGCATCAATTCTCTTACTTGAAAAATTTAGTGAAGTGCGATTATCATAAGCAGTTGGGAAGTGTACTTGCGTCCCTATACCAGTATTTAGTGAATTCCGTGCTTGAGGCGAACTCATTAACATGAAGAGTTTACGGCTGTAATGCGTAGTTATTTTCGATTAAATGTAGAAGTTACTTTGAGTCGAATACTAGGGCTTTCTATTATATTTTTCAAGTTCAGAAGAACAAATGACTCCCTCTTATCTTTATGTAAGGATATTACTTTTCGTTCGATCTTCAAAATTGATACAGTATGATGGGGATATGAATGTGGGAGAGTAAGAAACGTCTGTTTTTCGTGAGTTTTCCACGGCTCAGTCGGATGCAGATGCGAAACCGACTATATTTGATTATTTACGAGATGATGGAAGAATGTGATGCTGATGACGTGTTCGTATTCTTCCCAACAGGGCCGTTGAAGGATGCTACAAATCTGATCTGCACTCCGCACGCGGCGTTCTATTCGGACGCCGCCGTGTCCGAACTCCGCGAGATGGCGGCGACCGAAGTGCGTCGCGCCATCATCGGTCGTATTCCCGATTCCCTTCGGAATTGCGTCAACAAGGAATACTTCGGTGGCTCGTACGCTGGCGGCGAGGGGCTCAACGGCGGCAGTGGACTGACTGGCGCCGCAGCGGCAGCAGCCAGTCTTGGCGGGCTCGGTCAGCTTTTTGCGCCGCCTATGTCCCTTGCGCATTCCACTACTCATCCGGATGGGTCCCCGCACCCGGTCGTGGCCGGAACGCCGCCCGTTGCGATCCCGGCGTCGCACCTCCAGGTCCGCCGGTCCTGAGCTCAGGATTCTGTCGTGGTGTGAACGTTTCTCCCTTGTTCCTTTCGTGCGTTCAATTGATTGATTCATTCATTCACTCATTCGTTCGATTGTTTTCCCCCTTCTGCCTCTCAAATCTCTTCTCTCACTCCAGTCTCCTCTTCGCAGCGGTTATCTCGTCTGCTCTCGTCCTCGGGGGGAAAATAGTGACTTCAAACGAGCCGGAAGTTTTTTTTTCTGCGAAAAGGGCCTTTAAGGCTGTTGTTTTCCCTCTTCACCCGTGTACTGTTCCCCCAAATTCCTTTTGACACCAGCATGGTATTTACGATCTCGTAAAATCGCGAGGAACTGCGCTGCGATTATTGCAGTAGTACAGAAGCAAGTTTGTGACGGAACAGTTGAGTGCGTGCCAAAAACATTCAAGTGCAAAAATATTTCGAGAATATTAAGTGGAACAGTATTTCAGTGCCAGGCAATGAGGCAGTTTCGCTAGGTTAGGGTCAGAGTTTCTCAACCCCTTCTGACTCGCGGATCCTCTGCCGACATTATTTCCATGGCAGAGGATTCCTCGAATGTCCTTATTTTTTTCTATTGTACTTTAATGGAATTCAGAAGTGGAATTTATTTTTACTTGAGTTACCGACATGGTAGTTCTTGTCGATTTGTGTATCTCATGCTGCTTAATATTCAATGTATTTCTGCGTTGTTTCTTTTATTTTCCTGGAGTGGCTGTGGAGCCGCTGTGAAGTGCATGGAGCACAGGTTAAGAGAACCTCTGGGAGTTTGGGGTTAGGTCAAATAGAGCTTTTCTGGAAAATAATGTATGTTTTAATAGATAAGGTCACATAGATTAATGCAATTTAGCGCCTTGGAAGATTTTTGTTGTGTGTTTGCTTTGTTTTTCACTTGCAGTGGGGATTTTGTTGTTCATTTTGTGAATATGCGCTGTTTTGGGATGCGCCTTTTTTTGGACGCGCTCTCCTGTCCCGGCATGCGAATAGGAAAATCAAGCGAATCGATTGAATCATCTTGAGTAGTCCAAAAAAGTTAATCCGGTGATTCGTCAGGACGGCAAACTAAAAAAAATCAAAGTATGATTCGCCGGCTCAGGCGAAATCTGATGTCTTTCGTGGCCGTTTCTCACACGTTGCAGATTCATTCGAACTCGCTTTTTGTTCAGGTTTGAAATTCCGGCTCGTCTGAAGTGACAAAAATCGCCCAGTTGTAAGCGCGAGGATAAATTGCTTCCTGCAACGCGTCTGTATCGGCTCCCCCATACAACGTTCCGGATCAGAAGAGGGATATTTCTCGCGTGAAGAGTAGGCAAAACTCAAGACGATTCGAGGCAAAGATAAAAAGGCCACATTTGACCGAATTTTAATGGAAGAGTGACAAACGTGGGAGATTCGAGTAGGGGAACCGTTTTTACGCCGTTTTGTACGTTTCTGTTCGCCCCTACTTCCCCTGAACTCTTCCGGAATTTGTGAAGAGAGAATATAGGAAGGTTACATTAAAAAAAGTGTTTGGGAAGTGGGAGAATGGACATTTTTGTGTGCATGTTTCCGATTTTTTGTGAAGTAAAGCGAGCAGTTCTTCTTCGACTTGAAAGTTGTTGATTTTTTACTTCATTATCAAAATTAATGCTTGATTTTTCCCAAGAATACGATATCTGCATCAGTAGATGGTTGCTCCAAAAAATGATACTGCATTATCTATTATGATATATCTTCATATGTTCCTTTTGGCCTTGATTCCTAAATTTTAACATTGAAATATGATCACTTAGAAGTTCGAGGTAAGGCCAAGTCAAGAATCAATCAAATTACGGAGCCCTGGTTTCAAGCTTATTTAACTAGAATAGAATTTAAGCTACGGACAATTTTGTTTGTGGGTTGATGAGGAAAAAAGTCTCATGAATTTTGGTAATTTGTGTGATGCCGAGAATTAGAGAGGGACGTGATAGTTCATGAGAGACACGACTGAAAAGTGAATGTATGCAATAAATGTGATTTCAACAATCAAGTTTATTCAAGTATCCCACATGCTACATACCAACTGCACCCACATTAAATTCAGATCCATAAACATTCAAAGATTGCACTTGTTAGAACAGCCCTAATTTGTTCCCCCATTGCTGCACCATAAATGACAAGTCTCTGAGTTTCTTGACTTCGACTGCTTCAGTCATTGAAACCACTTGTTAATCAACTAGCGATCGCGAGCTTCGGAAAATTGATTCCTTCAGGAAGCTGGAGCCAATTACGCGGAGACCACATTCCATTGCTGAAGTCGACAATATGGAATGTGTAAGCGTGACGGGAATGCGGCGACAAATTCCTTTCGCTTTTGTGCAACACTTGGCCATCGATTAACACGCAAGCACCTTCAAAGAAAGAGCATTCTTGGTTAATCAACGGTCCAGAGAAACTCGTGCATTTCTGAATAAAGTGTACGCATCTCACGATATGTCCGAAGGCGGAAGTTATTCAGTATTTCACAAATAAGAAGATACAGTCCTGACAAATACAAGGATTTTCTCAGAGTCACATGTATAAAATTGTCAATCGACTCGACAACTTTTATAATATTTCAGCCACGCTCAAGGACAATAATATACAGTTAGTTGAAACCTGAAGACAGGGAAGGCCGTGCATTACTTGGGTAGGAAGTACTTCTAGGACGGGAGTTTGTGACAATTGAGACCCGTCTTCGAAGTAAACTGACCTTCACAAATACAGTATATTCAACAGCCCTGATCCAGGACTTAATCGACTTTTTTTTAGTCCTGTACCATCTATTGTACACACCAGTGTTTTGAAGGGGTTTGTAACGGGGTCCCCGCGCGACGAAAGCCCGGGACACGAAAGCCCCGCGCGACAATAGCCCTGACACGAAATCCCCACCATACCCGCGCACAGCTGTAACGAAAGCCCCGCCCGAACTTTTTTTCAGGACTGGTACTCTTCGGTAGTCAGTTTGGTAGTTGCCATTGGTTAAACTTCATTACTTTGTTGAGGGAAGTACACAAGCTCTTGAAGAAAAAAATCATTCATTTTTCAACAATAACAAATTGAAACGAAACAAATAACAAAAGATTACAAAAAATTCAAGAAAAAAGAAAGAAATGGGAAAAGTTTTTATTTACAAAAAAATTAAGAGTCTTTGAAATATTTTCCAAGAAATCCAAACGTTCAATAAGTTGGCTTTGATAATCTTTGCACAATTGACGCAGTTTTTTCTGGCGATCTCTCTCAAAAGTTGACACTTGCTTATGTGGAATTTCACCATCTTCGTCAAATTTCTTCAGCGTTGTAGCAACTGATGCAGCGGCTCCATGATGAAATCCCGCGGCCCGAAAATCCCGTGAGGCTGAAAATCCCGTAGGCCCAAAAAACTCGCGGGGTCCGAAAATCCCGCAGGTACCAAAATCCCGTATACTTCAAAAATCGCGATGTTTTCTCCAAGTTTTCCTTCCAAATGAAATGGTGAAAGTGTGCAAAATTATTTACAGACCATCAACATATAAAGATAGCAAAGGAGGTTTTTCTTATGTAAGAATTCATGTTTTGATGACAAAGTAGAGCTTAAAATAATTGGAAATGTGAAACAAATACAGGGGTGAAGTCCTGATCCAAATGAAGGTTAATTTTTTCTCACGTTTCCTTGGGAGAAAGGTGAGGAGGTGGAGTTAAGGTTCTATTGAGAGAGGTAATTCCTAAACCTTGGATAATCCTTAGAAGGAAAACCCCCACACTTTCACCATTTCATTTGGAAGGAAAACTCGGAGAAAACATTTCAATTTTTGAATTATACGGGATTTTGGTACCTGCGGGATTTTTGGACCCCGCGAGAATTTTGGGCCTACGGGATTTTCGGCCTCACGGGATTTTCGGGCCGCGGGATTTTTTCTCCCACGGGATTTTCTCCTGCACCCGATGCAGCATCTTGTTTCAGGCGGCGAATAATTTTGAAAAATATTGCTCCACACGTGGATTCGTTGAATTGTATATGGATTTCATCAATTCATTTACTATAGATATCTGATTATCCAAGTTGACATTTTTATAAATTACCACTCGACAAATACTCAAATATTAGTTATATCAAAGCATGTGCAGTATGACCTGAGAAAGTGATTTAATCGTCATATACACAGTACTCGCAAATAATTTTTGCAATATAACTTCAACAATTTTGCCATGGGGTGGTCCAAAAATTGAATTAATTCCACTAACTAATACAAATAGAAGAAATGGATAATCTAGTCTAATGACCGCGTTTTCTTGCCGGCATTAATTTGCATATATCGTGAATTTTCGAGTATTTACGGAATCCAAAAAATGAATAAAAGGAAAGATAAACTACGTGAAACATTGCATTCTGGCGAATACATGAATTGCTCGAATTTTTTCACCCAATCTTTTGCCACACAGAAAAGAAAATATTGTACAAATGTAAATTGATAATTGAATCGAAAGCTGTTGAAATCTTTTCTCAACAAATTAATGAAAATTCAATGATCCGAAAAAATTAAATTCAAGCGAGTGCCAGAGTTAATTTCCTTTGGTTTCATTACATGCAAAAATCGCTGCGCCTAATAGAAATGAATTATGTCGTTTCATCAGATTTGCATGTAAAATACTATACTGCAATAGTGGCTTCATCGTAATTTTCTGAAAAATTGCATTCTTTCCAACAGTTAGTTAGAGTAGAACTTGGATAATACGTTCATTGCAGCGTGTTATTGTCCGCATAATTTTACAGCATCTGGGATTGTTGAAGATTATTGGGAAATTCCATTCAGCAATGGAATACAAAATCCACGGAAGTTCTGGCCCAATATTTTGCCTACTCTTCAATTCGCAGAGTTCTCATCATTAGCAAGAACGGAGTTCAGATGGAAATCCCCTGATGGGAAGAAATTCCATTCAGCAATGGAATACAAAATCCACGGAAGTTCTGGCCCAATATTTTGCCTACTCTTCAATTCGCAGAGTTCTCATCATTAGCAAGAACGGAGTTCAGATGGAAATCCCCTGATGGAACATTCAGATTGCTCTTGATATAAACTTGCTCAATTGTTGTACAGTATATTCGTTTTAAGAATCTAAACACTTATTTCAAAACCGGTCTTACCAAATCCTTCAAATGTCTACATAATCGTTATTTTCCCAGAATTAAAAAAAATCCAAGTATGATTCAGTTTTACCTCCACGCACTGAAAAGAAAGCCAATCGATGCTAATCTCCGGAATACGGCCGAATATAATAAAGTGATTTATTTCATATTACCACTTAGTGCCATGTTTTCAGAGTTCAATGATGCTTAAAATTTTACCTCCACGCACTGAAAAGAAAGCCAATCAATGCTAATCTCCGGAATACGGCCGAATATAATAAAGTGATTTATTTCATATTACCACTTAGTGCCATGTTTTCAGAGTTCAATGATGCTTAAAGAAGAGGTTATCTCTTTCAGATACAGTATATTCCAAATTAATTCACTCATTTGGAAAATGCATCGCCAGAAAAAACTGCGTCCATTGTGCAAAGATTATCAAAGCCAACTTATTGAACGTTTGGATTTCTTGGAAAATATTTCAAAGACTCTTAATTTTTTGTAAATAAAACTTTTTCCCGTTTCTTTCTTTTTTTCTTGAATTTTTTTGTAATCTTTTGTTATTTGTTTTGTTTCAATTTCTTATTGTTGAAAAATAAATGATTTTTTTCTTCAAGAGCTTGTGTACTTCCCTCAACAAAGTAATGAAGTTTAACCAATGGCGACTACCAAACTGACTACGGAAGACTACCAGTCCTGAAAAAAAGTTCGGGGCTTTCGTTACAGCTGTGCGCGGGTATGGCGGGGATTTCGTGTCAGGGCTATTGTCGCGCGGGGCTTTCGTGTCCCGGGCTTTCGTCGCGCGGGGATAGTGACGGTTTCCCAGTATCTTTATACTGATTCAGATTTTGATGAAGAACTTCCTGATGAACCTCAAATAAATACAGAGAAATGATAAATAAAAAGGGATTTTCACTCTCACTGAAATGATGGAACTCCACCAAACAATCTGTGGACCATGTAGCCTATATAATCATTTTGTGAGTGAGACTTCAGATTTTTTTCCGCCAACAAAAGGGATAAAAATATTCAAAAACTATTCTCATTTCAAATCAACCCTGGAGCAATTTCGATCAACCTGAGAACCCTGGAATCGGAAACCTTGACGTCATCCGTTGCTGACATGTCATAGGTCAATGCCATGTATTGACAGGATGGATGTTTGCTGTCTTTTCCCGACACACAGACACACACGCACACACGAATACTCTTACAATATTCTGAAGGTCAGTCTACAAATGTCACTTGTTTGCCTGGTCACCCAATAGCTTATTCTGAGAAATTTGAATCATCCAGGAGTAAATGGTTCTGAGATCTTCCTTTCAATTTTTTTTTCTCACGGAAATAAATTATTAGTCGTCTGACCAACAATAGATGATTTTTCAGGACATTCAGGAGAGACTTCCTCTGCGCATAATATACTAACATGTGAGACGTAGGGCAAAAAAAAAAAGGTTGGGAAAAAGAAAAGCTTCAGGAAAAA